GAAGAAGAAGATGAATAGTTGCAAAACTGTTCTTTCTTTTCCTTTGGTCCGTGCATGTGCATCTCTCTTTTCTTTTCTTTTGTTTTCAAACGTAGGTCCCCTTCTCCTTTCTTAAAATATTGTTGGATTTTAAAATTCTTTCAATCTCACGTTCTGTCCTCTTCCTCCTTTAAACAAATTTTTTTTTTTTGCTTTTTACAAATTTTCCTCTCCTTTTCACGTGTTCCTCCCTTTTCAAAATCTTTTTTTTTTCCTTTTAAAATTTTTCTTCTTTTTCTAGCCTTACCCGTGTTGTCCCCTTCTGCAAAACTTTTTGCTTTTTAAATTCTTTTAATCCCTTCCCCCTCTCACGTTCTGTCCCTTTTCAACAAAATTTTCCTTTTAAAATTCCTTTCTTCTTTTCTAGCCTTAACCGTGTGTTTGTAGTCTTTGCCAAGAAAAATGGACCCCACGTGTGTAGGGGTCCAAGATTTGTGTCCCCCATGCGCGGTGGGGTTCCCCGTGTGTCGTGTTCCGTCCGTGTTCCCCACGCGTGGTGGACTCGGATTATTATGGGCTAGGCCCGAAAATTAGGCCTAAAAATGGGAACCCGAATATTATTCTTTTGCCCGGACCCGAGAAATAAGAACACGACGTTGCTCAACTAATTATGTAAGCAAAATAAATACCAAAAGACTAATATTTAAGACAAAACTATATCTTTTTAAATATTTTTTCAAGATTAAAATAGCTACAAAATATTAATAAAACTATTTTTGTAATTTTCGTTTTTTATATAAAGAAAATATATAAAATAATATTTTTGTATTTTTTCAAAATTAAAATGACTACAAAACATTGATAGAACTATATATATATATATATTTTGGTAATTTTCGAAATTATATAAAGTACAAAAGTAAGGTGCAATTTTTTGTATTTTTTCAAGTTTATGAGAAGTACCTAAACTAAAATTTATTTATATATATATTTTTGTAGTCTTCTTTTGCGGCGAAATAAGATAAAATAGTCAAAATAGCTATATTAGACTCAATTCAAATATTAACGTCTTGTAGCCCTCTTTTCTTTTTTTGATAAAACTAAAATTCTAAATTGAGCTAAAAACTAAATTGACTCCAAAAATACTAATTAAACTCCTAACAAAAATTATCATACACAATTAAACACCAATTAAAATAAAATTGCATAATTTGACATTAAATACTATCAATGCAAAAATATTCCAACTTTTGTGACTTTCATTTTTTTTTTTGTAAAACAAACTTAATTAAATACTAAATGAAAATGTGATATATTTTATATTAAAACAAATAAACATGCACTCATAAAAATACAAATAATTATACAAAAATACCACAAAAATAACAAAAATTGCACACAAAGGAAAATTGTGTTATTTTGAATTTTTTTGGGAGTAATTCTTTCATAGGGCAAAAATCACGTGCTTACAATGTGTGTGTGTGTATGCGCACAATTGCGGCCTCGAGCCTAAGTATACGTATACATAACTGCGACCTCAGGTCCAAAATGCATAAAGCATAAACTGCGGCCTTAGGCCCAAATACAGGTGTTCAACATTCAAGAATATAAACTCAGGAACTGAGAATCATATTACAATACATCATACCGAAATAATGAGTCATACCAAGTTACATGATACTGGATTAGTGATAGGATTAGACTGAGATGGATATTCATAATAAGTTGATTTATCATAACTGAAACTCATAGAATATCGAATGATTATGATACTATGCCATCTAGAGAATAGAAGTTCTACTACTATTCAGGGAACTGAGGTATAGTTATTTTCTGAGGAAACCGGTAATGGTCATAATGAATGGGACGTAGGAGAGTCATGGACATTCCCAAACGTAAAGAGTTAGCCTTACATACCTTAACTTCTTGCCCTTGAGCGTAATACAATGTTTGTCAACCTTTTCAACTTTAATCTATAACAATACAAGTCAAAGGGGTTCCATATTAGATGTGATGCTCATGTTTTGGTCACTTAAGCATCTTATCAAATACTTGGTCAAAATAAAGCTTCATAGTCCTTATTAATGGTGTCTCTACACCCAACAACTCATTCTCTTGTTCCTAGAAAAATTTTAAAGTCTCAAATGATTATATCAACTTATTCTTCATCACCCATAATGTAAACAACACCCTTATCCAATAATCAACACTCAACACCCCAATCCTATAATCGTTCATATTTTTCTACCAAACCTATCAACTCATATCTCATGAACTAGGGTTTATAATCATTAAACAAATGCTAGAATCAATTAGAGGGTGAAGACAGTACCTTTTTGAAGTTCAAACTCTTTGAATTCGAGTTCTAGGCTTCCTTCTCTCAACAATGATGTCCCAATCGAATATCTAATGATATGGAGGGTTTACCCATGTTAATAAGATATTGGGAAATTGAAATTAACTTAGAATCACCATTAGAACTTACCTTGGATGGTGGAAGGACCCTTAAGGAGTTAGGTTTTTTAGAGTTCCTCTTTCTAGAGCAAGTTTTTATGTTTTGGGGCTATGGGGGACGAAATATAGCTTTAAAACGACCCCCCACTAGCGCGCCCGCGAATCTGGAGGCCTGCCCGCGCTAAACGGCAGTAGCACTGCCTCAAAATTAGCGCAGCCGCGCTACCGGCGCGCATATCACATACTGTTCTGTAAAACAAGTATAACGTTTTGCACAGAGATCCGTCCGGGATCCATAATATATCGTTAGAAATCTATTTCAAAGTCCTACAACTTTCATGCTTTGAGTTTTCCCAAATTCCTTACTAATTTACACTACAACTTGCTGGAATATGAACCTTCTGCAAACTTAGTCGATTTTGTCAAATCTTATGCACCTCACTTTCCATCTTGATTTTGAAATAACTATTTTCACCCATAATCATCCCGATGGGACTTTACATGTTCAAGGTATAATCTTACCACTCATTGAACACATTCACACCTAAGCCGAATTTACGAGGTGTTACATGTACTTTCTCATTTAAAACACTAAATATTGTTTTAAAAATAAACTAACATATAACCTATTAGAAAAATTTGATGCCCAAATATTTTTGGCCCAAAGTAGCTGCTTTTGGAAGCTTCACCCTTTGGGCCAGCACTGTAACACACTAAACCTATAAGCTGGTTAAGTTTTAGGAATTTTTACCTCCTATAGCAAAGGTTAACACCTTATTTATTTTAAATAAATACCATTTAAAAAAATTATATTCTATAGATACCTTTTAATGTTTATAGCAAAATATCTAATTTTGGTTACCTCCTACCCCTAAGCCACTAAATACGTTATTTAGTTACACTATTTTCTTTCTCTCTCTATTTTGATACATGCCATTCCCTTCCCCCATTCCCTAAAAACACAACTGAGGTCTTCGTCAGAAGCAACTTGATTTTTAGTAACTTGATTTTCTATTACGAAGGGCTCCCTTATTGGATTTCGTGCAAATTTCTCTTACAATTGGCACGACGGAGGCACTTGATTCATGAATTTTTTGGCGGGGTTGTTACGAAGAGCTTGTCATTAAGGGATATTGGCTAGAAAAATGGTGATGTACCAAATAACAAATTGCAGCATGAGTAATCCATAAAACCAGACAAAGGCATCACTATCCTTTGAAAGAGTATAGCCAATTTATCAAAAAACATGTTATTCTGCTTTTTCTTATTGATTTTCTGTTATGAAGGGCTCCCAATTGGGCTTCCTAAAGTACGAAGGGCACTTGATTGAATACGAAGGGCCTTTTTGGTGAGATTCAGGGTTTTTGCTCGACGATGGATTCGCCGGAAATTAGGGTTTGTTCTTGAACAAAAACGACAAAGTTTGGGGCTGAGCAACTTGATTTTATGTTAATATATTTCAATGTATTTTCATGTATTTCATTGTATTCATTATTCTTTCACTGTAATTCAATGTATCTCGTTGTATTCCATGTATTTCATTATATTCACTGTCTTTTTTTCATTGTATTTCAATATATTCCGTTGTATTCTATGTATTTCATTGTATTCACTGTCTCGCTATATGCCATGAATGTATTCATATATTTTTTTAATTAATATAATTTATGTATTCAGATGTATTATATAATTTCTCTGAAGATTGCTATGTTTTTGGTGTATTTTTCGGTTGAGAATCTTTTTTATAACTGAAAATACAAAATTTGTGTGTTATAATTGAGTTTGTTGAGTTATATTAGGAGTCTATTATATTAATTGATTCACTTTCCGTTTTAAAACATTGTAATTCCCCTATTTCACGCCGTGAATACAGTCGAATAGAATAATCTGTCCAACTGTAATCCCATATTTCACTCCATGAATATAGTCGAATACACTCGAATACAACAACTAATTAGCTCGACTTCCCTGATTCACTCCTATTTTTGCTACTGTATTCATGAATACAATAGCTTAAATACACTAAATACATCTTATAACCACAGAAAAGATATCTCTAATCCGTAATATAACAAATGGTATCTATAAATGGCTAATTACTACTAAAAGATAATGCTTTATGAAAATTTATCTAAGTTTTATCATGAACTAATGTTGGGAGTACTTTGTGGGAGTATTAGCAAAATAATAAATGGGATCTTTACACAAATGGCTGACTAGATTTAATATTTTTTGTTCTAGCGGCACACATAGAGTATGTACCTATCACACACGATTATATATATACTATACATAGATTATACATATATTATATATCACCCTGATATTTTTAGTTTAAATAATTGAGTGAGCGGCTATTTAGGTTAATTAGTGGATAACGTAATGGAGTTATGGAAGTAGTAAAGTAATGGGCCTATCACTGAATATGAACCAAAATGGGCCTCAACTTTTATTTCGGAATCGAAGTCCAGCCTAAATAAGATACTCAGTCAAAACTATATATATACACGGTTCAGCCAGTGTCCCCAAAAACCCTAAATCCTCTTCAGCTTCTAAGCAGTAACCTCAAAGGAGCAGCCATGGGTACGCATCTTCAAACTCACTCGGTTTCATACTTTAGATTCAATTGTCTTCATCTTCAAATGGTTTCTAAAAGGTATTTTATGATTTTTGATTTGTATTAAATGCTTGAGATTAATGTGTTTTTTGTGTGCGTGAAATGCAGCGAGAATAAAGGTTCATGAGCTGAGGGGCAAGTCGAAGACTGAGTTGTTGGCTCAGTTGAAGGATCTGAAGGCTGAACTTGCTCTTCTCCGTGTTGCTAAAGTCACCGGTGGTGCCCCTAACAAGCTATCCAAAATGTATGCATTTTCTCCCTCTGTTGTTAAACCTTGCAATATAAAATTGTTGATGGGTACTAATTAGTTTTGTAATTTTAGTTAATGTTATTTTGTTTTTAAATGTACATATCGTGTGAGATGTGTTGCCTAAGCATAAAGCAGGTAGTTTATGTAATTTTGGTCTATAGTAGATTTTGTTAGCATTTGCCATATATATATGTGTGTGTGTGTTCCTTCACAGACAGTTTTCTTACTGTTTTCATCATTTTGATTCTTTTTACACATTACTAAAATTTTCTCTCTCTATGATAGCATTCCTCTATTGTATTGCTTTTTGTTGACATGTTTAAAACTTAATTCATCAGCTAAGGGAGTAAAGTAAAATATCAATTTGTCAAATAAATACTCCCTCTGTTTCAATTTTATGTGTCTTATTTTTCCTTTTAATCTCTTTCAAAAAGAACTGTCACATTTCTGTATTCGTAAGTCTTAAATCAAACATACTCATTTAATCTTAATGACTTTCTTGTAAGAGTGATATGACATGTTTATAAGATTACAAAATTTAAAGGGTATTTTCTGTATGTTATAACCATTTAGTTTAAGACCATGGGAATCAATATTTTTATATTGTAAATTTCATTCCTAATCAAACTAAGACACTTAATAGGAACAAAGGGAGTACTAGTTAATATCAAATGTTGTGTATAAATAATAAGAATTCAGAATATTAAAACATAATGAATAGGGATATAGGAAGTAAAAGAACCTCACCATACAAAGTTTCAAAGATCCTCCACACTGCATTGCCATCCCTGCAGTAGCTGCTGATGTATGTGGTTGTCAAGTCTTTCTTCAGAAGGCTGTGTTAATTGAAGCCATATCAATAAATAGTAACTGATCTAATTGTTAACATAAGCTGTTGATGGGTTTCTTTGAAGGGAGGTTGTCTTGTTCATAGATGCTACATTGTACCAAGATGAGGGTTAATGTGGGTACCCTTCATCTTAACTGCCATGGTGGCTGTAGCTATATGAATATTTTTGAGAAGTTTACTGGCCGGTTGTTATAAATCTGTTGGCATATCTGCTTACCGAACTTCTTACATTTTATGCTTACCGAACTTCTTACGTTTTGCATCACACTGATGGTAGTCTAATCAGGCTTGCTATTGGTGATTATCCTTGAGACAACTTAGAGTTACCTTGTATTGGGTGTTTTGGGGGGGGGGGGGGGTGTTCAGGTGAAAAGAAGAGGAGTATCTAAAGATGAGAACTACAATATTTTGGGATAAGTATTCAATTTGAGTAGAGTAGTGATTGTTTGCCATAACAACAAATAGTAACTGATTTAAATGTTAAGGTAAGCTGTTGACGGATGTCATTGATAGAAGGTTGTCTTGTTTATAGAAGCTACATTGTACCAAGATGAGAGTTAACTTGAGTGCCCTTCATCTTAACTGCCATGGTGGCTGTAGCTATATGAATATTTTTGAGAAGTTTACTGGCCGGTTGTTATACATCTGTTGACATATCTGCTTACCGAACTTCTTACATTTTCTGTTTACTGAACTACTTAACTGCTTACTGAGATAAGTATTCAATTTGAGTAGAGTAGTGATTGTTTGCCATAACAACAAATAGTAACTGATCTAAATGTTAAGGTAAGCTGTTGACGGATGTCATTGATAGAAGGTTGTCTTGTTTATAGAAGCTACATTGTACCAAGATGAGAGTTAACTTGGGTGCCCTTCATCTTAACTGCCATGGTGGCTGTAGCTATATGAATATTTTTGAGAAGTTTACTGGCCGGTTGTTATGCATCTGTTGACATATCTGCTTACCGAACTTCTTACATTTTCTGCTTACTGAACTACTTATATTTTGCATACACACTGAAGATTGGTGATTATCGTTGAGACACCTGAGAGTTGGCTTTGTATCTAGTGTTCTTTTGGGTTGTTGGGACGCAAGTTAAAATAAGAGGAGTATCTAAAGTGAGAAATACAACATTATGATGCCAAGCATTCAATTGAGTAGAGTAGTGTTTTTTACCGTAACTGACTAACTGATCTAAATGTTAACATAAGCTGTTGATTGATTTCATTGATGGAATGTTGCTTGTTTATAGAAGCTACATTGTACCAAGAGGAGGGTTAAGTTGCGTGCCTTTCATCTTGAGCCACGGTGGCTGTAGCTATATGAATATATTTGAGAAGTTTTACTGGCCGGTTGTTATATAAATCTGTTGACATATCTGCTTACCGAACTTCTTACATTATCTGATTACTGAACTTCTTATGTTTTGCATACATACTAAAGATTGTCTGTTCAGGCTTTCTCTTTGTGATTATCCTGAGACACCTAAGAGTTGACTTTGTATCTGGTGTTCTTTTGGGTGGGGTGGGGTGGGGTGGGGATGCAAGTTAAAATAAGGAGTATCTAATGTGAGGAATACAATGATATGACACGTATTCAAATGAGTATAGAAGTGATTGTTTACTGTTACCATCTATTATGCTTTTCCTAGAGTTTATGTTCGAGTGATTTTGTGGATGCAGAAAGGTGGTAAGGTTGTCGATTGCACAGGTTTTGACTGTGATCTCACAGAAGCAAAAGTCAGTTCTTCGGGAAGCTTACAAGAACAAGAAGTACTTGCCTCTTGACCTTCGCCCCAAGAAAACAAGGGCTATACGCAGACGTTTGACTAAGCACCAGGTATCTTTCGTCTATATCTGCTCTTAATATTCCATCTCATTAATCGGAGTGCTAACGATTTTTGTTTTTCTAACTTAGTGAATGAAGTTTGTAACTCTAACCAGAAAGATAAACTAACAATTTGATGACTTATTTTCTTTATCACTGCAGGCATCCTTGAAGACAGAGAGAGAGAAGAAGAAGGAGATGTATTTCCCCACAAGAAAATATGCTATCAAAGTTTAGGATAGGATCTACTTCTGCTGAGATTTTTGCTTTTGGATCAAAATTACTTGTCGAACTTATCAGCAATACCAATTTTGTTTTGCTTTGTTTCATCTGGTGCTTTTGACATTTGATACATTTCATCTGGTGCCTTTATGTTGAATAGGCTGTTTGTTATTAGTGGTTCAATGCATTGAAAATTTCTTATCATATAGTATGTTTTACTGGTGTTAGAATATTGTTCAGTTTGTCCGTCACTCCTTTAAAAGAAGTAATTGTTGGGTTTACAAAGTGAAGACTTTTTGTGGAATTCTTGAAATTTGCAAATAAATTTTTGAAGTTGGTATTCGTTTGAATTTTCCTCATGCAATTTTTGATTTTTTTTTGTAAGGTGAATATTCGATGTCTGAAGATGACAAGATGTATATCAAGTGAATTTTCAAATCTTCAACTTTTATGCTTTAAATCCTCAGTTACCCCCAAAACACCCTATTTAAGCGAGCAAACTCCCTAATTTTCAGAAGTTCAGATTTTGTCTAAACATACCGATTTACGAGCTTACTAGACTCCCTTTGAACTTAAAAGATTACATTAACTAAGTATACGACCTGCCTTCTACATCAGATATTAACTAGTCTGATAAAAATTAAAACCTTTGGCCAAAATATAAAAGCACCAACAAATATGATACAAAATAAAGTTCTTTGCTATTTTGTAGTAATCCTTAATTTGACACTCTTACATATGATGATATCAATTTCACCTGAGTTTGACAAGATGACAACCGAAAAAAGCACATTTATCACATTACATATAGATAGGCCAAATAAAGATACTAAGATTTGAACTTTATGGGTTCGAGTATGGAATTCTAACACAATTCATTTGGTTTACTAGGTTCGAGATATTATTTGTTCTTATTTAGTGAATTTTTAACACGTATACAAGCTCTGAGCCAAAGCAACTTTGTTCTTATGAACAGGGGTGGATTTAGGGGGGCGCAAGGGTGTTCACCCGAACCCCTTCGCCGAAAAATTACATTGTGTATATAAGGCAAAATCTGGTTTTTACCTCTATATATTATGTTTTGAATCCCCTTCATACAACCCAAAAGCATGGTTTAATGGTCAAGGGGGTTCAAAACTATTATGAGGTCATTGGTTCAATTCCCATTAGCTACAATCTCTTTAAATTTTTTAACTTATTCCTTTTTTGAACCCCTTAGCAGAAGTCCTGCCTCCGCCACTGCTTATGAACCATAATTGAAGTACTACATCCGCCTCCGGAAGAAACTAGCATGCAGGTTTCATATGATCAGCACACACTTCTGGTGGTCGGGAAATAGATTGCCAACCAGTGCAAACTTGAAGAACAGCTTTGAGGGAGTCTGAGGCAGGTTCCAATGTCCAGACAGGGTAAAATTCACTTGGATGAAAAACACACTCTTCACCAACACCAGTTAACAACATTCCCTGAGCTCCTTTGAGAAACAAGTCCCCTTCAGATCTGATTAAACCTGTCCTTGCTTCTTCCTTATCTGCTGCCTAAATAACCAAAAACGATTCGAAAGCCGAAAAGGAAAACATATAAAGACCCTTCATAACAGCAATATATTTGGTATACAAGTAGTTAGGAGAAATAGAATAACAGTAAGAAAAATTAACATTCTTTTTGACACATTAAAAGCCCCAACACTCCAACATTGAAACCAAACGACACTTTAATCTTGGTCTTTTTTGGTATTATACTTTAGCAATGTCATGAATCATGCTGAACCACCAGCAACAAATTCCCATGCCTCTTATCAATAACAAAGCTATTATTTTAGATTACTATATACTAATTTAGTAAACGGAAAATGGCCTAAACTACCCCGATCATTTGCTAAATATTTATCAATACCCCGTCCATCTATCCGTCCAAAAAAACACACGACGTTAATTCTATATAAAATTACCCCCGCGACTAACGGCAGAACTGGTGAGCCTACAATTTAATGACATGTCATTTTTTTACTGGACCACGTGGCAATCTCTGACTAGGAAAAAAATTGATATTATTTTGACCCATTTGCCTTATTCGACCCAAGGTTTTGTTAGCTCGGTCATAAAATTACATTAACCCACCTAACTGATCCTATCAAAATTGAATTCAAATATCTCACCACCCAACAGAAAATTTTGTTTCTCAATTAAGTACTCTTAACTTAATTTCTTGAAGATGCCAACGATTTATATAAGCTTTTTTATTTTCAGTTTTATGGTGTAAAATAAGAATTTTTTCCTTTAGTTTTCTGTAACTTTAGGGTGTTGTTGATGGGAGAAATGACTATGGTTGTGAGGTAGGCAAGGTGGTAGAGGAAGTGATGAGAGCAGCGACTACGGTGGTGGGAGCAGTAGCTACGGTGATGGGAGCAGTAGCTATGGTGATGGAGTGGCGGAGGCAACCGCTACAATGGTGAAAATTGTGTTGCGGCCAGTATGATGGTGGAGGTCAACTCCCAATGGCGGTAGTTGCGCAAGAGAGAAGATGAATGGGGGAGAGAAAGTTTGGGTGAAATCAAGAAGAAGATCGGGAAAATGGGAAAGCCATTGGAAACAACAATAGAGTTCTTTAGGAGGAGGGATGACTGGAGGAAACATCCCATGTTGACTAATCAATTTCGCCACGCTTTCCCTGGCCTAGTCATTGCCGTCGTCGCTTTCTCCACCTACTGCATCGGCAAATTTGCTTACAACAAGATGTCTTCCCCTTCTCACTCCACCTTTTCCGCCACAACTTCTCACTCTAACAAAACTTTGGGTCGGGTCAGCTAAGTGGATCAAAATAAGATTTATTTTTTATTTTAATCAGAGATTGCGACATGGCCCAATAGAAAAATGACACGTCATTAAATGTAGGCCCACCAGTTCTGCTGTTAGTCACGGGGGTAATTTTATTAATAGAATTAACGTCGTGTATTTTTTTGGACGGATAGATGGACGGAGGGTATTTATAAATCATTTAGCAAACAATAGGGGTAGTTTTGGCCCTTTTCCGTTTAGTAAATATGTAACATGTGGTTTTCACATACACACTTATCACTTTTATCCAAAGTTATGTATTGAAATATCAAAAAACGCCAAGGAATAACTTGCAAGGGCATTTATATTTTGAAGAAAACTCAAACGTTGACTATACGCAGAACCAATGTTGCTCTAAGCTGGAGATACAACGAGAATTGATGTAAAATAACTATAGCTCAAATATACAGTTAACCTATGGGTAATTTCCATGTGCCTAACAATTACGAAGGTCATCAACAGCTTTTACTAACAAGTAGTGCCCCGTGTTGCTTTCCAGCTATGCCCCATAACCCGTAAGGCGCCGCCGGCATAACAGTAGGAACAATCATACTCAGTAATTATAGGGATAAGAGGAGTTCAACAAGTTTTCAGATTCTGGTTCGTTGGAAAAATCAGAGATATCAAAGACACTTCCATACCAAATAGGATAAGCATGGACACTAAAAAGTAATAATGATATTTTTAGGGAAAGATATGTTCGTTATTTTTTGAGACTGAACTCTGCTCGGAAATTTTCACTATAACATTGTTTTTGTTATGGTAATTTTAACAATAGGATCACACTTGATCAAATCCAAGTTTAACGAATCATTTTATTTTTTATCATAGCGGTGTTCGGATCAGCGCGTATACCTTAATTGATCTACCAAGAAGCCTGCTACAACCACAACCACAAGTGTCATCCAATCCTACCTACTAAGAGTGGATTGGATAGGCTCATACTGAGTGTTGTAGCTGCAACTCGATCCTGGAATCTCCAAATTGTTACTCCCATACCTCAAGCATACCCTTTGGGATAAATCCAACTTCTAAATCTAGTACAAGCGATTCTGATCTAGTCAATCCAACTCACATTGATCCATCTTTCACATCAAGCACTTTAGGAATTCATTTATTCTTAGCCTGATAAATTTACTAACCATAATTAAAAAAAAAAAAAAAACTAGTGCAACTTAAGTGGTGTAATTTTAAAATGAAATAGACATAAAAAATATTTCATAATTTAAAATAAAAACCAATGCCTAGAGATCAGCATATCTGTGGAAAAACTTGATGCAGAATTGGGTTTGATACATGTATCCACTGAAGCAAAACTACTATGTCTCAAGTCTCCTCTTTAAATCAAGGTTGTTTCATAAGTCGATTAACTCCTTCGAGAACTAGAACACGAAAATTGATTGTAGTTGCCTTATTCAATTTAGACCTAAAGATTTCCCAAACACTAAGCAAAAGGATCAACTCTTGAATATGCTACAACTTCTAACAAAGAGAGTGTACTCTCTTCAAGTACTCAAAGGCAGAATAAATTTATCGAACAACTAGAAAAACTATTAGAGGAAAATAGTAAAAACAAAAAAAAAAAAACACTTTCAATGTACACTATAACTGAACAATGTATCAATTTGGGTTGCAAAATAAGTAAGAAAATCATCTGTAAAATATAAAACCTTCACCTTGAAAAAACAAAGATAGTGATGCTGTGCAAATTAAAAGGCATTGAATTACCTTCTCTGTGTAATACTCAAAAGCTTTTTTCTTCTGTGTAGCTTCGTATATGTTGCATTGAGAGTATACCTGGAATCAACAATGACAAACAATATTCTTGGTTCTAAACTATTAACATGCATCAAACTGCATACAGGAAGAAGCGAATACCTGTGATTCTACACTGGCACAAATAGCATATATACCCCAATTTCTAGTATAATTATTGTACAGATGAACTTTTCCAAATCTAACACGAGGTTGCCTCTGCCGTGTCCCATCGAAAAAGCAGTGGTGGATGGTCACTCTGATACATCTATCACCAATATGAGATGGGTCTGCTCCAATAAGCATTGTCTTATCATGCTGAGCAAAATAACATCTGCAGAAAACATTCCTTAGGATCATTAATCTGCCGTGGAAATTATCTCAATGTACAGAATCCGAGAAACAGCTACCAGTACCTAGAAATAGTGATATCTGTGCTTTGTCTGGTTATATCGATTAGCCCATCATCATAATCACGAAGAGAACAGCGGTCTATCCAAATGTGCCTAGAATTTGGTTTTATTTGAATGCCATCAACGTCATGACCTCTGCCACCTTCAAACTCCAAATTGCATACGATTATGTGCTCACAATCCTTCAGTTGTAAGCCTTTGCCAGTGAGTTTTATCCTTTGGCCTCGACCATCAATAGTTTTATAAGATGACACACGTAGGTAAGATGCGAGATGAATGGTGCCTGAAACTTCAAAAACAATCCATAGTGGTTCTTTCTTACGGCAGCCATCACGAAGTGATCCTGGACCATCATCTACAAACAAGAAAGTGATGGTGTTAACTTTTGGAAGCTACCTACTCCACCTAGATGGCCTTTGGTTAACCAGCGGAATCCAGAGGGTAAAAAAAGGGCAGCCCGTTGCATGCATTAACTTTAACTGATGAGAAAGAATTAGTATTTATTGACATGACATTTTCTACATTCTGGCCAAGTTAATCCGAGGGGGATAATGGTTACTACTATCCAAATTCATGTGGAAAATCATCTGAAGTGAGAATTTGATCAACCTTCATTAACCTTTTTTAGATAACCGAACCTTCTTTAAACTTTCCGTGAAAATTAACTTATTCTGAACAGATTATCAACTTGTTTAGACAACCTATAAAAAGAATATACCTCATTAAATTTACATACACTATACCAGCTTAACTATAGCTACAACATTTGGTGCTAATCATATCTTAATTCAGATAAGCAGTTCCAATGTCATGTACATTAAATACCTGAGAGTGCATCTGGTATGGAGAAAAAGTTTTAGAATGAATTTTTTTTTCGAGAAATGTTTTACCTTATGAAATCATTTTGCTATTTGGTCGGATAGGTGACATACAGCAATCCTACAAGTAGTACATGTCATAAGGATAGTGGGACAATGTCTAAAAGCTACTCCCTCAGCTTCAAATTATGTGATATAATTTGATTTGACATTGAATTAAGAAACAAAGGAAGACATTTGAAACTTGTGGTTTTAAAAGTGCTATAAAATTTGCGTGGCTATACGAATTTTGACGTTTGTACTATTAAATATGCCATAACATTTGTGCGGCTATAAAATTTCTCATTCATGGTAAAATGGAAAGTTTGGTTAAATTGTCTTAAATATATAAATATGTTATTCTTTTTGAACGGACTAATAAGAAAATAGTATCACATAGAATGAAGCAGAGAGCAATTGAATCAAATAACAGGGAACAAAAGTCAGACAACGGAAAAATTATTTACACCCCGTGTTCACCAAAGCACATTAATTTATCATAGTGAAGTGACAATTGAGATGATAATATATATTAACTTAACCAGATCATAAGAGTGTATACAAAAACCACATGTCATGTATTTATTAAATTGGTATAACCAGATTAGGCAAGACACGGCGCACTACAGCGCACCGAGGACATGACCCTTGATAGGAAGGTGTGTAGATCGAGGATTAGGATAGTACGTTAGATAGTCTAGATTATTCATACCGGTAGTATTAGTATGTACTCTCGCATTCTGTTGGTATTAGATTTCTATGGATACCTGTCCTTTCTTTCATTTCGGTCATTCTACTATCTTGTTGTTATTTATGTTGCTTTTATATGGCTTCTCGGTGCTATCCCTTCTTGTTTTTCTTTTCATTAATGTAGTACTTATGCTTTTCTGAGCCGAGGGTCTATTGGAAACAACCTCTTTATCTCCGCAAGGTAGGAGTAAGGTATGCGTACACACTACGCTCCCCAGATCCCACTATGTAGGATTATATTGGATATGTTGTTATTTTATAACGCCGAATAAATGCCTCGGTCCCAAACAAGTGAGGTTGACTACATGAATTCTTACTGGCCATATTACTCCTTTTAAACTCCTTACTGGCCATATTACTCCTTTTAAACTCCTTACTGGCCAATATTATGCAAATGCAAATAAAAAGGATTAAAAGTACTCTATATTTTTCTTTCAGAATAGTTGTAAGGCATAACCAAGTCCAAGACCAGCACGACCGTCAACTAAAAACTAGAGAATTATTCTATCATAGCAATCTGCTTTCACATACAAAATTAATAATGATCGCAATTCTTCTACCTAAAGGTATATAATTCACATTCGATCAATGGAGGAGGAAGAACAAACCGGCCAATGTAGTGACGGAATAGACCGGACCGTTTAGACCGCCGATGGAAAACCTGCCAAATCCTTCGGCTCGACCGGCTAGCGCTTTTAAGCTCGAATCTACATCAGAATATGGTAACACCGCCATGATTAAGCTGCAATTGAGTGTTTAATTAGCTCTAGGTTTTGGCGTTAAACCGGTAAATTTTAGCAGGCCGTTGAACCGGAAAATGAAATACTGAATATTTGGATCGGTCAACAGATTTATAAGGTTAAAATAACACGGTCTAGCCAGTTTTCGGATCGGTCATTCAAAAATAGTAAGCGTTTGTCAAGTCATTGAAAATAACCACTATTTCGCTGCAACAAAGACCGATCCAACACGATATACTGGAGTTCGGTGCACCTATGTATAAACTTCCAGCATATTATGCTGGACCGGTATACTTTGCTGGCTCCAGTATAATATAGTAGAGACTGGAGCATCGATGCTCCAAACTCCAGTATATTATGCTGAACCGGTATATTATACTGGAACTCCAGTTCCATTGTAATATACTGGAGTTATACTGGAACTCCAGCATATTATACTGGAGTATTTTTCCGAATTTTGAACAATATTTTTGTTCAGATTTATTTTTAATGAAAATAGACTAAATTTCGATTAATTTTGAAACTGTGACTATTTTTGAATGACCACGTATAAATTTGACTATTTTTAAATTTCCCCCATTTATAAGTACGGCACACAGTTAAGAGTTTAGCCTACTAAATTGGAGACATTTAAATTGGCAACAGACTTTTTACTATAAATAACCATTATTCTACATATACACATATGACTAATTTAGATTTGTGTCGAAAATGTGTAAAAGAATAAAGGGCTGATGAAAAAGAAAAAGAAAAAGAGAAAGAATAAAGGGCTATCTATCAAAAGGAAATTCTATTCACACGACTCGATATTTCTAATTAAAGAAATACTCTCTCCGTTCACTTTTATTTGTTCACTATTCTAAAAATATATTTTCACTTTTACTTGTTCACTTTTGTATATCAAGAAAAAAATAATTTATTTTCCTGTTTTGCCCTTAGCATTAATCACGTATTCCAAATCATTTTCTAAATCCATTAATACAATACACCGATTAATATGGATATCATTCCAAATCACTTTATTCATTATTTCTTAAGGGGTGTGCAAAGTCAATAATGAACAAGTAAAAGTGAACGGAAGGAATAAAAAATTTTATCGTCGAGATCACATGTTTTCTAGACGTGTTTAATTCCTACGCGGTTATAAAATATATTTACATAATGAGTCGTACATTAATTGGTCAATAACTCCTCGATATGAACCTAAGGGAGTTTACTCTCATATTAATTGAAGTTAAATACTAGAATATAATTCTGATTTTGTGGTGTTTAGTTTTAAGACTCAATTTTTTTCACCATGAATCAAACAAAAATAAAAATTGTAGGATGAAAAATATTTTACGATGGTGCTACGAAATGGTCCTAAGCATGTATGAAATATTTGAAGTCTACCGGACATTTTACGTAAGTTTTCAATTTTTTCAGCAATTAACGTAAGACTTTATCCGAATAACTAATAAGTTTAAATGGTGAAACATGAAGATTGAGGGTTCATATTGCTATAGCATCGTGTTTATCCGAATCCAATATTTTTTATGCAGAATATAAATTGTTATGTGAAAACCTACAAAAATTTTAAACAAATATTAGAACTGAACCTACAACTTTAGAAGTATAATGAATTTAGTTTAACACTAAAAACTTTAAATATTTAATCTAAATTCTGAATTCGATTCTAACGGTATAGATAAGTTGCCTCTGTACCAATTGGTGAAGAACCTGAGAAAATAGAGACACAATAATAGACAGGTTTCAAAGATATTGCAGTTGGAAACATAAGGATCAACCTTTACTAATATCTTAAATGGCTTGAGAAAGTGGTTATAACATGTCATTGTGTATCTTTATTGGTTTCTTTATGCATTTAGGTGTTCGCTGAATATTAAACAGGGATTGAAAGCAGAGGCGAACCCAGAATTTGAAAATCGGGGTACACTTTTGGATTCAACCAAAATCTACTTTGTATATAAGGTGTCCATTACTAGTATATCATTATTTTCTAAGGACATATACAAGTATACATGAAATTTTTGCCGAACTTTATGGATACCGATGACCCTTCTCGGTATAGCGTAGGTCCGCCTCTGATTGAAAGAGTACTGGTAGGAGTCGTTTGGTAAGATGCACTAGGGAAAATAGTATATGTATTAGTTTTGGTATTATTAATCCTTTGTTTGGTAGTGTTTTTCAACTTATGTATAACTAATACTTATATTACACCATATTTAGTATTATTCTTATACGTAGCAAACCAGACATTAGCAATACATAGTTTTTAATACATGGATAAGTATGTATAAAGATAGAACCGCTCTTTCAAAACCTTTTCCAACATTTTTGCAGTGTATTTTTGTAAACAAATAATTTTTAAAAGAAATTATGCTATGCATATTATTTTTAATATACCAAACCAAGCAGTCAATAAGTAATAATTTCAGTATAACTAATCCCAACATTATTATAATCATATTCTTAGCATTATTATGCATCCTATTCGGTATTATTCTTATATGCCCTGCCAAACTACCTTAAAGCACAATTGAATGATGAATGGTCAGTAATTCCACCATGTCAAACATCAAATAAACTTTTCAACAGTGGTAATTTGGCTCTATTACTAAGTTTTAAGGTTTAGGTTGGTACTCCCCTTTGATATTCAGAAGTGATACTTTAACTTACTAAACTTTTTATACCTGATTAACTATCTAATAACCATTATTACTAATTTATTATGAACAATTTCTTCTAATTATCTTTAATGTAATTTGATGCAAAAAGGGATCTCTACGACAACCTGTTGAACTTCTGAAATCTACTAGCAATTGCCATTGTACTTTCCTCAAGTTGTGCTATTTTCCTGCCAAAAAAAAGGCAAAAAGGTCTCCCAGTCACTTAAACTTGCACCCAATTATCAGCCCGGTAAACAAACTTATAACTTTTCCATATGAACTCTTCAATTTGAGCATAAGTGAACTAATAAACACCTCCAACTGTTTGAATCATAACACGTGCATTACAATTTCACAAACGGGACAACTCAATCAGCAATAAACGAATTATAACCTGCCATGTGTTATTTTTGACCTAAAGACCCTAAAACACTCATTTTTCGGTTGTCTCTCTCAAAGAACTCTACATTTTCAATCGTTATGCTCAAATAAAGTCTGCTCAAATGGAGGGAACGATTGTCATAGTTACTGGACAATCTTTTTCCAATCGTCTTCCTCTGTGAACGATTGGAACGTAAAAATCTTTTTCAAATGGAGTGAACGATTTGAGTATGCTCAAATGGATTGTCATCGTTCTACCTCTGTGGTACTTACTGGAATATATTATAGCTCCAAAAACCTAGTGGAACCAGTGCCAAATATAGTACATAGAATCAGATTCAATAATTTAAGCCAACTCTGAATAAAGTAAAGAAAATACAGAGCAAAATGGTGTCCTATTATTCATAGATTTTCTGTCTTCAAAAAATCTTTTTCCTCTCCCGTCGTTATTCTTCCTTTTTCTTTTATTTTTTTCGTTAACACTCACTTTGCTTTGGAACTATGAACGACAGAACATACAGAGGAAGAGGAAAAAGAGTTTTCTTTTGTGTCAAGACAGAAGAAGAAGGAAGGAAAGGGGAAGTGTTAACGAAAAAAATAAAAGAAAAGGAAGAGATAAGAGGACTGTGATGAGAGGGGTAACGAAGAAGATGAGGAGGCATTTGGGTTTTTCTTTTCACTTTTAGTTTTTATCTTTTTTTAGTATTTTTTATTCCAATAATCTGAATTCACGCATCTAATTCGTGTGATTGGCACACACTATTGCCACATGACACACGACGTTGCCATGGTCAACGGCGAGAGGTATTTAATAATACTTATCCTCTCAAGTTTGAGTACCTAAATGGAAAAGTTGTAAGTTTATTTACCGGGATGACAATTATGTGCAAGTTTAAGTGGCCAAAAGGTCTTTTTGGCAAGAAAATTTCCCTCCGTTTCAATTTAGATAACACACTTTCTTTATTAGTCCATTCAAAAAAGAATGACACATTTCTATAGTTAGGAACAATTCAACTGTAAACTTTTTATTTTACATATTTTACCCCTAGTGAGAAGCTTTTATACCCACACAAATGTCATGGTCTCACAAAGCTTTTGCCCTGTAAGCTTTTAGTACTACATATTTCAGAAGTCTTATGTTTTTCCTTAAATTTTGTATAAAGTAAAACTACATCATCTAAATAGGAACAGAGAGAATATTTCATTTTGTGTTACGCGCTTTAGGAGAGTAAACTACACTCTCTATCTTATGTGGTGTCTCAAGAGTGTAATAATTTCACTTTGAACACATATATAGGGCAACAAGAATGTCCACGCCATCTTCAAGAATTTGGGCGACGGGCTCCAAATCGCTTATAAAATTTTGTGGGCTCGGATGCATACAGATGGCGTGGGCTATAGCACACGAAAATCTGGGAATCGGGCAGAATTCTAGTTTTATGGCCCTAAAACGTCAAAAATGAGGAATGATCGTGGCGAGGCAAAAATAATTGTTCCTTAGGTCATTTTTATGGTCTGATTTTTTTAGGCGATTCAGGTCCGGTCGCCTGGATGCATGCAAATGGCGTTGGCTATAGCACACGAAAATCTGGGAATCGGGTGGAATTCCAATTTTATGGCCCTAAAACGTCAAAAATGAGGAACAATCATGTCAAAGCGATGACTATTGGTCCTTAGGTCATTTTTTATTGTTCGGTAAAATTTTAGGCTATTCAGGTTTGATCGCTCGGATGCATGCAGATAACGTGGGCTATAGTAGTCGAAAATTTGGGAATTAGGTGGAATTCCAGTTTTATGGCCCTAAAACACCAAAATACGAGGAACAATCAAGGTGAGGCGATGACTATTGTTCCTTAGGTCATTTTTTATGGTCTGGCGAAATTTAGGCAAATCAAGTCTGGTCGCCCGGATGCATGCAGATGCATAGGTTATAACATACGAAAATAAGAGAATCGGGTGAAATTTCAGTTTTATGGACCTAAAACGCCAAAAAATGAGGAACCGCCGTGGCGAGGCAATTACTATTATTCTTTAGCTCGTTTTTGATAGTCTGACAAAATTTTAGGCAATTCGAGTCCGGTCACCTGGATGTATGCAGATGGCATAGGTTGTAGCACGCGAAAATTAGGGAATCAGGCGGAATTCTAGTTGTATGGCACTAAAACACCAAAAAATGAGGAATGGTCATGGCGAGACGATGACTATTGTTCCTTACGTCGTTTTTGATAGCCGAGCAAATTTTCAGGTGATTCGGGTCCGGTCACCTGGATGCATGCAGATCGTGTGGGCTATAGGAGTCAAAAATCTAGGAATTAGGCGGAATTTCAGTTTTATGGCCTTAAAATGCTAAAAAAATGAGGAACAGTCATAGCGAGGCAATAACTGTTGTTCCTTAGGTCGAATTTGATTTTTCAAAAATTTTCTAGGTGATGTTCTCCCATATGCTTGTAGATGGCGTGGACTATAATACATGAAAATTTAGAAAACGGGTGAAATTCCAGTTTTCTGGCCCTAAAACGCCAAAAATGAGGAACGGTCATGGCGAGGTGATGATTATTGTTCCTTAGGTCGTTTTTGATAGTCCAGCAAAATTTTGGGTTATTTGGTCCGGTCGGCAGGATGCATGCATATGGTGTGGGCTATAGTAGACGAGAATCTAGGAATTAGGTGAAATTTCGTTTTATGGCCCTGAAACTAGGAGTGGGCATAAAATCCGAAAAACCGAATTACAAACCGAACCGAATTAAATTGGTATTTCGGTTTCGGTTTTTTCGGTATTTCGATCTAATTCGGTATTGCAATTTCGATATTTCGGTACGGTCCTCGGTATTAGAAATTTGAAATTCCGGTATACCGAAATATTGAAATACCATTTTTTTAAAATACATTTTCTTATTGCGGATTGCCCAAGTCCACTGCCCTAGCCCAACCCATCGCCCCTGCCCACTCTAATAATTTTATAATTCCAACTTCCCAGCGCCTCAGCCCATTGCCCCATCCCACTCTAAAAAGATTAGGGCTAATTCGTTAGGTACTGAAAGTCAGATACAGTTGACTGAGTAGGCGATTAGGGCATTAGGCGATTTCCGAGCTCGATTCGATTCCTCAGTCCTCAGTCCTCACTCCTCAAAAATTTCGGGCAAACGAAGACGCTACTGTTGCGAACTTGTGATAGTTTCAATTTTCGAAGGTATGTTTCTACTTGCTTTTTTTTTGGTTGTTGACTTGCTTTAGCAGATGAGTTAGAGGTGAAGAGGATTTATTTTGTTATTCATTTTTCTTTCTGAAATTAATGTATTTTTCTAGATGTGGCAAAAGAAGTATAAATTCTAACTTATTGATCAGTGCAAGGTATACTTGGTAACTCCATTGACATTGAGTATGCCAGTTCTTATCAGTGTGCCGAAAGAGTAAAAACCCAAAAAACAGAGAGTGTGTGTGTTCTGAAATCGTGTTTCAAATATTTTAAAGAAAGTTGCTAGCGAAAATGGAAAGAATAAAGATCCTTCCTTCCTTGGTGTTTTGAAGAGAAATCCTAATCTTTTCTTTACCTTATAGTCAGAATATGAGCTCTAATTGACTTGCACGTTCAACGGTTCAAGACTTTATGGGGTTCATTATTTTAAAAATTTTGGTAGCACTTGTAGCCCGTAGGGAGAAGCAGAAACATGGTAGTTGAAGCTACTTATAGCTAGTTTGAAATAACTAAAATCTAAAAATGCACTCTCATATTTACATTCTCTCAGCATTACTGATAGCAAGGTGGTTAATTTGTTGATTGTTAATTTATGTTTATATTTGTTTAATTTTGTATAGATGAAAGATACAAGTAAAGTAAGTGATATTGGTTCTAGTGAAAGTTTACCTATTACGGTAGATAGTAACACCAACTCCATTGATACTCAAGATTCCAAGAAAAGGAAAACCATGCAACCTAGGTTTGACGTTTGGAACCATTTTGATAAATTTGAGGTTAATGGGGTTGGGAAAGCACGGTGTCGATATTGTAAACAAGCTTATGTTGCTAATTCATCTAAGAATGGAACAACAGGATTGAAGAATCATTTGCTTAGATGCAAAGAATACCCACTTAACATTACTCAAGATAATAGTCAAACAAAGATAAATTTTCAACCTTGCCAAAATGATGAAAGATCAATTTGAAAATTTGATCAAAAAGTGGTTAGGGGGGCCTTAATTGAGATGATAGTTATTGATGAACTACCATTTAGCTTTGTAGAAAATGAAGGCTTTATGAAGTTTATGAGAAAAACTCAACCACTATTTCGTCTTCCTTCTCGTAGAACAATAACAAGGAATTGTTATGAAGTTTACGGTGAATTGAGGCAAAATCTAAGAAGTTCTTTTAGAGAAGAACAACTAAAAATTTGCCTAACAACAGACACTTGGACTTCATTACAAAGAATAAATTATATGTGTTTGACAGCCCACTTCATTGATAGGGATTGGAAGTTGCATAAAAGAATACTAAATTTTTGCCCTATCACTAGTCATAAGGGTGAAGAGATGGCTAAAGCTATTAGGGATTGTTTGCTTGAATGGAAATTAGACAAGGTTTTCACTATTACCGTGGACAATGCTTCTTCAAATGATGTCACTGTCAAAGAATTGTCTAAACAGCTAGATATGTGGAAAACTAATATGATGTGTGGTAAACATCTTCATGTGAGATGCATGGCTCATATACTAAATCTAATTATGCAAGATGGTGTGAAGGAACTTGATGCTTCTGTGACACGTGTTAGAAATATTGTGAGGTATGTGAGATCTTCGCCTGCAAGGACCTTAAAGTTTAAACAGTGTTGTGCACATGTAAAGGTAGAATGTACCAAAACGTTGTGTTTGGATGTTCCTACCAGATGGAATTCCACTTATTTGATGTTGGATACGGCACAACACTTTGAAAAGGCTTTTGACAAGTTGCATCTTTTTGATGATGGATTTTCTGCTTATCAATGTTCTCATCTTTGTGAAGATGGTAGTAATGCACGTCCTCTTGAATCTAATGATTGGGTGAATGTGAGGAATGTGATAGAGTTTCTTGCAAGATTTCACGAGCTAACTAAAAAAGTTTCAGGTTCACGTTATGTCACTTGTAATTCTCATTTTGAGGATGTATCTGAACTTTATTGTCATTTGAAAATGTGTTTAGCTAGTGAGGATGAGCATTTGAGAAAAATGGCTGAGCAAATGCAAGAAAAGTTCAAGAAGTATTGGGGTGAGCCTGAAAAGATGAATAAAATGATTTTTATTGCTTCCGTCTTGGATCCACGTAACAAATTTGAATATGTTGAGGGAGCACTTGAAGAACTTTTTGGGGAGGAAAAAGGGAAGAAAATAAATGCTGAGGTGTATGCTTATATGAATTCTTTGTTTGGAGAGTATCTAAAAAAGTATTCAACCGAATCTTGTCCTCAATCTCCATCTAGTTCTACTTCATCTAACAACACATCTAATACACCTAGTGGGAGTGTTATAAGTGCATCAAAAATAAGGACTGAGCTTAGCTTGAAGAAACAAAAGGAAGATAATGGAAGTGGGGGTGCTAAATTAGAGTTGGATAAATACATTAGTGAAGAACAAAAGCCTTTTAGTGAAGAATTTGATATCTTGAGTTGGTGGAAAACACATGCTCCTAGATTTCCTATTCTTTCGGAGTTGGCTCGTGATGTGTTGGCAATTCCAATTTCTAGTGTGGCGTCGGAATGCACGTTTAGAACTGGTGGCCGCATTCTTGATTTATTTAGGAGTTCATTGACTCCTAAATATGTGCAAGCTCTTATTTGTGTTCAAGATTGGCTTAGAGAAGAGAAAAATCCTATTAGTGTTGAAGAAGACTTGAAGTATCTTGAGGAACTCGAGCTTGGTAAGCTTTAATATTTTGTGTATATTTTAATTCAAAATAATATATCATGCTTTTTCATTTGTATGACATATTTGGTCGTATTATCTTTAGATATGGAAAATAATGGAAGCACTACTAGCATTGTTTGATGTATAGTTGCAACTTGCATCTTGAGTAGTAAGTTTAATACTCTATTTGTTTGGTGATATACTTAATATTTTGTAGTTTTGTTTTATTATCATCAAAATATAATATTCTAACTTATGATTTATATTTTTTTTAGGTTCAAGTGCAATCATGCCCCGTGCTCCTGCTCAACGCTCCGATATTTGGGAATACTTTGTGGTGAAAGAAGATAACGGAGAAGTTCGCAAAGTAGAGTGCAAACATTGTGGTATACACAATTGAACCAAAATAAGAAATACCGAACCGTACCGAAATATTTTGGTATGATATTTGGTATACACAATTGATAAACTGAATACCGAACCGAAATTCTTAAATACCGAATGCCCACCCCTACCTGAAACGCTAAAAAATGAGGAACGGTCATGGCGAGACAATGACTATTGTTTCTTAGGTCATTTTTTATGGTGCGGCAAAATTTTTAGGCGATTCGGGTCCGGTCGCGGAGCAGTTTTTACCCGATTTAGGGTCAGGATCGATTTTCACAGAGAGCTAAAATTTGAAATCGAGTATCTATCTAGTGTAGAGTTGCGTAAGTGTTCCAAATTGCACTTTTACTCATTTTTGGGGTTTTCTTTTTTACTTCTATTACTATCAAAATACAAATGGTAAATACAACTAGATTGAGCTAAGAGTTAAACTAAAAAGGGTTGTTCAAATGGTTTAAAAGGCACTAGGGTAATGACTTTCACCTAGATGGTTAATTGACTGGTAATTGAATCTAAGACACGATTGACATAATTAGGGAGTATGATATAACCATTGCATGATATTACCCACTATACACCTCTCGGTGGTTCAAGTGATTTTGCCCGATTTGACTTTCTCAAGACCAATTGGGTATGCAAATATGCACAGGCAACTAGGGTTCAAGTCGGGTATTACTCTCTCGAGGTTTAACCCTTTAATTGAGACTATCAATCTCTTGAGTATGCCCTAATTCCTTGTTGGACCAATTTCGGAGACTTAGGCTCTCTTTCTCAAGAAGAGCCCTAGTCAACTAAACACAAACTAGTGTTTGCAACCACTAGTTCAGCAATTAACCATGAAATTGGTATCAAACACCCATAGTCAATCTAGCCTTAAAATACACGACCCATCAATTACCCACACTAGGGTTGAGCCACAACCCTAGCTTATGGGTCTAGCTACTCATAATTAAAGAAGAAAAGCAAGAAATAGATGAAGAATAACTCATATTAATTAATCACCAAGGTAAATAACAAGATTTATTGATGAAAAGTAGATAAAATTTCCCAAAATGGCTAAAAAAGGCGAACCCACGAGCGCAACTACGTTACAAAACTATCTCATACCCTAAAAATGGGAAAATAAATTATTTATACTAAGCTAAAAGTTCTGGACAAAAATGCCCCTGCGGGGTTAGTGTAGACCGCACAAAATGGTGTGCGGCTGCACTAGAGCTCTGAACTTGAAAATACAGCTCTCTGAACTTAGGCAATGCGGACCGCACATAATGGACTGCAGCCGCATAGGCTTCTAGTGCGGTCCGCATAAAATGGACCGCGAACCGCATATGCTTCAATCCTCAAATATGGCACCTCTCTGATCTTGGGTTCTGCGGACCGCACTAAATCGAGTGCAGCCGCATTGCCTTCAGTGCGGACCGCACAAAACCTAGTGCGTCCGTATTGCAGCTTTGCCTGGAAATCCACCTCTCTGAATCTCCTAATACGGATCGCACAGAATGGTGTGCGACCGCACTGGGCCTGCTTTGCCTGAGCTTGTCTTGTTGTTGGCACTTGTGCAGGTTTCACTCCTTTTGAGCTGATTTTTGACATCTTGTCACTTTGTTGATCAAACCTACAATCAAGCATAACTTGTGATCATTGTAAGAAGCAAGAAGGAGTATAAAATGTATTAAAATCCCTAGTTATCATTACCTCCCAAGAAGCACCTGATTTAACGTCGCGGCACGACGCAGGTTACCATCAATCACTTGAGATGGATCATTGCCACCACGTGGCTGTCATCAAACTTGCCAAGATAGTGCTTGACTCTGTTCCCATTAACTCTGAAGATCTCACCATTTTTTTCTCAAATCAAGAGCACCAAATGGAGTCACAAGCACCACTTCAAAAGGTCTACTCCATTTTGACTTAAGCTTTCCCGGAATCAGTCGTAACCGAGAGTTGAACAAGAGAACCAAATCACCTACTTTGAACTCCTTGCCACGAGCATACTTGTCATGTAAATACTTCATCTTGTCCTTATATAAGGACGAGATGGAATAAGCATGAAACCGGAACTTATCAAGCTCATTATGTTGCTCCACCCGAAGATTTGCTGCAACATCCCATTTAAGATTTAACTTCCTCAAAGCCCACATGGCCTTGTGCTCTAACTCAACCAGTAGATGGAAAGCTTTCCCAAACACCAACCAGTATGGAGACATACCAATCAGAGTCTTGCAAGCAGTCCTGTAAGCCCACAAAGCATCATCTAATTTCTTTGACCAGTCAGTTCTATTTGCATTGACGGTCTTTGACAATATGCTCTTAATCTACCCGTTGAAGAACTCAACTTTCCCACTAGCCTGAGGATAATAAGGGGTTGAAACCTTATGATTGGCACCATACCTTGCAAGCAAAGTATCAAATGCCTTATTGCAGAAATGAGAACCCCCATCACTGATGATTGCTCGAGGAGTGCCAAAGCGAATAAATATACTCTTCTTAAGAAAAGACACAACACTCTGGGCCTCATTATTGGGTAAAGCCACGACCTCAACGCACTTGGAAACATAATCAACGGCCACCAGAATGTATGTGTTACCACATGTACTTACAAAAGGTCCCATGAAGTCGATGCCCCACACATCAAATATGTCAACCTCAAGAATAGTGGTGAGAGACATTTCATCCTTCTTTGAAATTCTACCAGCTCTCTGGCACTCATCACATCTCTTCACAAGATTACCCGTATCCTTGTACAATGTTGGCCAATAAAATCCATAGCTAAGCACCTTTGAAGTCGTCCTTGCCTCACCATGGTGACCATAGTAGGGAGAGGAATGAAAATCATCAAGAATACTCAGTTGCTCCTCTTCTAGAACACATCTTCAGATCATACCATCATTGCAAATTTTGAA